AAACGTTATCGTCTTCCTTCATGAATAAAATATGATTAACCTAAAATAACACATTCGATCTTATTACTTTTTCAAGGGTCCCTGATTTTTTTAGTATTGCTAAGTTCCTTTTCACCAGGCAAGACTCTGAAGCATTTTGTTTTCTTAGACCTTTGGGAAATCAACAAAAGAAGATGGCTACCTTAAACCTAGTTTAGCTGCAAGTAACAGGCAACGTGATGCATCTGTTTGTGTTAATAAACAATGATTGTCTTTATTCAGAGACTTTCATTTTCTTACTAGAAATAGGCGCGTGGTTTACTTTACTGCAGAATTTATAAGTCTATCAAGACTGTTTGAATACAATGTTAGTGCATTTCTGTTTAAAACAACAACTAAACTTAAGTGACCCTGTTTAAATTCACAAATGTTTTAGTTGTTCTGCAACGGATACACATCGGGCTTTTGTCATTTTAAAGTAACTCTCCATTTGACATGGTATTAATAAATGAAACTCTGAATGTATTTTTTCTTTCACAACTATTCAACTCGTCATCATCATTACTCATTTACTAGATGAAATACACAGTTAAATGGGATATCATGCTAAATAATTACTTAGCTACTATCTCATTTAAAGCTTATCTATATTTGGATTATTCAAGTTTAAAATTTCTATTTTTCATGAACACTAGTATTTAGATCAATTCGTGAAATACGAAAAAATATCAGTATTATCTGTTTCAATGGATTTACATGCATAACATATCAATAACAGTTGAGTAATGTTCGATTTTTATTAATTTGTATATACAGTGGTAAGTTTACGGATTAACATTGCTAAAATCCGGGGCCCGAGTCCCCGCAATGGACAGAGCCGGTAGCCTAATGTGGCTTTGCTGTAAAATGAATATACAAATAAATCTTGTATATGTTGAGTATTGTGATGCATAGAAAATATTCGCTTTCATGAAAACACCACAGCTAAGTCGTTAAAATGTTAAGTTGCTAAAGTTTGTTTCTTTGTTTCATTGCTAAGCACAAAGCTGCACTAGGAGGCAGTTGCCCAGCAGCGTAAACAAAGTGGGGTTCAAAATCCGTGTTATGTATCGATTATGGTATCATAAAGTTCAAAGAGGATTAGCGTTAATTTTAAGAGAGAGGAATTATATTAAACTAACATTATCCAACTTCCAATCTTCTAATACTCTTCCACTACTCAATAACCTATAAAAATATTTGCTAGCGGTTCACAAGTAAAATCTTTAAATTCTTTTAAAACTCAAGGATAAAAGTTGTCTATTCCAGGGGATTTATCAATTTTTAGGCTTCCCAACTTTTCTCTTACAATTTCAGAACTTATAATGATATATTTTACATCAATATTTCCCCATAAATTAAGTGATCTGGTTGAGGCATAATACTTATATCTTCCTTCGTAAAAACTGAAAAGAACATATAATTTAATAAGTTTACCATCTCATAATCTTCCGAGATCAGCTCCCCACTATCATATTTAGGAGGCCTAATCCCCATCCTGACATTTTGCTTACCCATCATATACCTAAATAATTCTTTATTGTTTGATTTAACTCTCTCAACCAACCCTCTTTCATATACAGTTTTTGCCCTTTTAACTTCCTTTTTAACCAGCTCTCTTGAGTTCCTATATTCCTCTAAGTCCTTATTATTTCCAGTAATTTCTTAAATTTATTATGTTTATCCCTAATACGATCCCTTAACCTTCACTAAACCATACTGGCTTGTCCCGCTCTGTTACCCTTTTTTTTCTGTAGGGAATATGTATGTTCTGTATTCATATCAATTTTTCCCTAAATGCTTCCCACATCTGTTCAAGGTCCCATCCCAACTCTTTAGTCCAATCTACAGAAGCCAGATCATATCTCATTCCATCAAAATTGGCTTTCCTGAAATTTGGAATCAGGGTACTATTCTTTCTCAATTTTACATGCAGTAAATGCTCATCAACTACAACTCTGTCTATCACAATCACATCGGATGCTAATATTAAATCTAATATAGCTTCCTCTTTTGTAGGTTCCATCACCAGTTGTTGTATAAAAGTATCCTGAACACTTTCCAAAAACCTATCCCCCTCACTGTCAGACTCGAAATTTTCCCAATCAATACCCCTGAAATTAAAAATTTCCCATAATAACAACATCTTTTTCAGCTACTATTCTGACCTCATTATACAGTTTCTCATTAACTTCCACATTCTGACCTGGTGGTCTATAACAACTCCCAATTACAAGACTTTTACATTTATATCCACTAACACTAACCCAAACTGACTCAACCTCAGTGATATTTTCTTTAACGTGCTCTAACTCAACATGATGCAAGTCACTCCTCACATATAAAGCTACTTCTCCCCATTTTTTCAGTACTTTATCTCTAGTAAATAATCTGTAGCTTGGTATTTCAAAAACATTCTCTCATCAAAATGTTCAAATCCAACCAAGTCTCAGTGATACCCATGATGTCAAAATCCTCAGTTTCCACAACTTCTTTAAACTCGTCAATTTTATCTCTAATACTCCTAACATTACAATAGTAACAATTAATCATAGATTTTAAAATATGTTCATGTTTTATACCTGTTGTACATGTTTTCTTGTCAATTATATTTTCTATTTTACTAATATCATAGCCCTCATCTCTGTTTAGCCCTAGTTTAAATTGACTACTATAGCTGAGTCAACGGCCTTTGCTAACATGCTAGCCCCTGCCTTATTTAAGTGTATACCATCCATTCCAAAAATATTAACTTTCCCATTAAAATTATACCACAAATCCAAACAGCTTATTTGTTCATCTCTACATATTGATCTAATCCTGGCATTCAATCCTAGTGACCTACTTAGTATCTCATCCCCACAATTTATTCTTGGCAATATCCCTGACAAAATCAAGCTATGACCCCCTTTAATTGCCCTTATCAATGTTTTATATTTACCAATCCATCTTTCCTTAGATCATTAGCCACAACAAGTACCACAAAAATTGCATTGCTACTAGCACCCTTAACTATGTCTCTGGTTCTATCAGTTATATCCTGTACCCCTGCTCCTGGATAGCGTAAGTGTATTCTTTTGCTCCTACTTACTCCACATACTTCTCTATATACATGCCTAACTAATAAGTCACCTACAACTATAACTTCCCTATCCTTTACACTATCATCCCTTGTGATCCCATCTGTTTCCCTTACCTGCTCCCCCTCATCACCAGCAAGTGCGTGGAACCGGTTGCTTAACCTAAACCCAAGTCCATCTTTGCCTCTAAATACATAATTTTCCAAGCTTTAACCCTATTTCCTTTCTTAGCTCCCTTAAAACCCTGTTTGCCAACTGTACCCTTTGTGTGTATAAGTTTAAGTTCTTCAATAAACCTCGCCACCACTTCAAGCAGTTTACATTTCTCTCTTTCCACCTCTGCAATTATACCCAAAATAAACCCAAAATTCTCCTCTAACATACACATACTGGTGTTGGGGGCGTGTTGTTACTTCTACATTAGCCTTTTACCTCTGTTGAAACTTTTCTGGTCTTTATGATTATAGGGGCGTGTTGTTACTTCTACATTAGCCTTTTACCTCTGTTGAAACTCTTCTGGCCTTTATGATTATAGGGGCGTGTTGTTACTTCTACATTAGCCTTTTACCTCTGTTGAAACTCTTCTGGCCTTTATGATTATAGGGGCGTGTTGTTACTTCTACATTAGCCTTTTACCTCTGTTGAAACTCTTCTGGCCTTTATGATTATAGGGGCGTGTTGTTACTTCTACATTAGCCTTTTACCTCTGTTGAAACTCTTCTGGCCTTTATGATTATAGGGGCGTGTTGTTACTTCTACATTAGCCTTTTACCTCTGTTGAAATTTTCCGTGACAGATGAGTATACAGAAACAAGCAGAAGGTATACAGTTCAATTTTGTTAGGGTTAAAAAACACCCTGTCAGTAACATACCGTTGAACATGTGAAAGGTCTCCGCAAGACATGGATATAAAGCAGTATAACGTATATCTTTTCCTTCAAGATTACATACAATATGCAAATATTTTGTGTTGTCATGTTACATCAAATCACAACTGTATCTCAATAAATAGCTGCGTATGTATAATAAAAGATTGTTTAACATAGTCTAAGAAACGGAAACATTTCCTTAACTATACTCTTAAACTTGCACGTTTGTTTTTTTCGAAAACAAATTATTATGCAGAAACGTAATACGAGTATCATTATATTTCTTCATCAAATGAATTTATCGTTTTCATTAAAAACAAATAACAATAGCAATTTTCGGCTGGTAGCAAGCTATGGTAAAAAGTCTGATTCACTTTTAGCCTAATTGTTTTTGTATTTGAGCAAATCTCTCTATGTCCAAGCTAACCCTGATAACTTAAAAGTTTTTCAAGGGGCTTATCAGATCGATCTTGATGTACGTTTTGCGCTACTTCCCCTACAGTAAATGCACCGCAAACAAATGTTTACAGATAACGTCAATAGCACGTTTAACAATATCTGCCAATTTTAATAAAATACAACAATATCAATACAGTCGAAAATAATGACGCTGTCCAACAAATATGAAACATCTTTTAAAAAAATTAATTATTGATATTCATTTTAATAAACAATAACATCACTTGTGTGTTTCCAAGTGTGTTTTTAGTAACTCGACATAGCATCAAAATAAATGTTACATTTCCCAACTGTTCCTCTAAACATGATAGTGTGTGTCAGATTTTACTCTCACATTATATCGTTCTGGGAAATTTATTTCAATAGCTTTGAATTATGTAACTGTAACATTTCATGAACAACACCGACAGACATATCTTACGTTCAGTTTACAAGCTGTGTATATTCCCACGTTTTCGAATGATATGTTTCCATGTTAGTGTATTTATTTACGTTTCGAAGTTGATACATGTTTTCTTATCATTTCTCTCTATTCATATTGTTACTAACTCCCACTGTTTATCTTTCCTAACAGTATTCTGTTTGCAGACATTGTTGGATTCACAGTTTTAGCTTCTCAGTGTTCAGCTCAAGAACTGGTTCGCTTACTGAACGAACTGTTTGGAAGGTTTGACCAGCTGGCCAGTGTAAGCTTAGCTTTTCTTGTTCCATCTCACAGTGTAGTAGTTTTCGTATTATTTTGTTTAATATTTTAACATAGTTACTATCGTGAAACAGATATATTGAACTTGGATAATAGAAAAAATAAGAGAATGTACGAACCTGGTGTTTATCAACACAACAAAAGAAAAATATTGATTATAATCAATTTATCACGAATGAACAAGATACACAAAGATTAATGTTGTTTGCTCTTGAAACTGTTAACGATCCAATCAGACAATAAAAATGTTTGTTCTTCTTTTCGTAATGATGATTTATTTCATTTTACACAAGTAACGTCCAATGTGGTGAGAAAATAACGAATATAACGTTTTGCAGAATCTTTTAGTCCAATAGGAAAGTGTTCTTGATAACACAAAAATGTTTTTGTCTTTCTTTTGTCCAGTAAAATTGTTTAACTCCTAATAAGTAACATTGTTTAAGTACTTGGTTGACTTTGAGAACCTTACTTACTTTTGTATTGTATCTTTCTGCCATCTCAACATACTTTGTTTTGTTTTTACATGAATATTTTTATTTATTAATATTGTTTAACTTTTTAATTGTTCCATTGGAAATCTGATATTAAGAATCAGTCTGTATTAGATGTTCAATAAGTACTATATATATATATATATATACATATCAATAATTATGGATACTTATACTTTTTCAAAGCCCGTTCCCTTGGCTGTGGTTTTGCTAGATAGTAGATAGGGACAGTGGGAATCTCGTTAATCCTTAATACTGATTAAAGTGCCGGACTGTGAATCCAAGAGTTCGTGATTCACGTCCTGTTGCCGAAAAAAAATTGCGCTTGACATCTTGGAGAGTCATTATAAGAGTAACAGTCAAATCCCACTATTCGATTAGAGTAGTAGCCCAAGAGTTGGCGATGGATGCTGTAACCTATCTGCCTTCCCTCTAATCTGTCAGTTCAGATTTAGGGACGGCTAGTGCAGATAGCTCTATTTTAGCACTGTTTTGGGCTTAAACAAAAAATTGATGGATTTTTTTTCTTTATATGTATCAGGAGAAACTACAACATATCACTAATTATAGCGATCAGTGAGGCGTTGTTGAAACACAAAACAAGATAATACAATTGATATAATCATCTTTAGACCTTCTGAAGAGAAGACAGGAAGTACAAAAAATGCAGAAAATCTCTGAAGAAGGAAAATCCGTAGATAGAAACAGATGAGCTATCTATTATATTCCTTTCAGTTCACAAGATACATTAATATCAGTTTAGCAGTATGGAACAGAAAGACAAGAGCTATTAGGGTACTTTTATTCTGTGGCATTCCCTCCCTGAAAATCAGACTAATAAATCTATTCCAAGACATGCATGGATATGGGAATGAGTTGAAAAATGTGTTTTAGAGTAAATTAAATATAGTCAGGTAAGGTAGTATTTATTTACAATAAAACAAACATATATCATTAGAACATCATAACCATAATTACATATATCCCACTGAAGAAACAATTAGATCTTAAACGAGGCTTGACTAAACTTTACATTGAACCAAGGCCAACGTGAATAATGTCAACATGATGGCCAGGTGGTTAGGGCACTCGACTCGCAATCTGTTAGTCGCAGGTTCGAATCTTCGTTACACCAGACATGCTCACCCTTTCAGCCGTGTGAGCGTTATAATGTTACGGTCAATCCCACTATTCGTTAGTAAAAGAGTAGCCCAAGAGTTGGCGGTGGGTGGTGATGACTAGCTGCCTTCCCTCTAGTCTTACACTGCAAAATTAGGGACGGCTAGCGCAGATAGCTCTCGTGTAGCTTTGCGTGAAATTCAAAAACAAACGAACAATGTCAACATGATATAAGTTTTGTTATATATTAATGTAAAATACCAACTCAAACCAACTCAATGTTGAAATCAAAATTCTCATTTAAAAAAAAAAAGGAAAAGCAGAACAGACTAAATTCAGCTTTTAAAAATTACTCAAAGTAACTCGAGAAATATGAACAAACCCATATAAAAAATAAGAAATATTCATTAAACATAGAAGTTTTCAAAAGGAAAGACAAGAAAGTCTTAATGAAAAATAGATCTACAATTAAGAACTTCCATACCAAGAACAATTTGTATCACCCTCAATATTAAGACACAGTTTCTCGTGTAGTTTAATCTTTCTCGCCCATAGGAACCACACCTGTCCCTCTGAAACAAAAAAAAATGTTTTTATTGGCCCAAAAGCTCTTGGTACAAAATCAGAGAGTCAAAGTAAATACTTATTCGCCCAAAGACTCTTGATATAAAAGAGTCAAAGTAAATACCTATGGGCTCAAAGACTCTTGGTTCAAAATCAGAGAGTCAAAACGAGTACCTAATGGCCCAAAGACTCTTGGTAGAAAATCAGAGAGTCAAAATAAATACCTAATGGCCCAGAGACTCTTGGTACAAAATCAGAGAGTCAAAATAAATACCACTTATGTTTTTTTGTTTTTTCTATAGTTTCTATGCACAAATGATCATAATGGTAGAATAATTCTCATCCGGACTCCAAATATTAGCGTTTAAGTCCGTAGACTTACCACTGTCCCACCAAGGGACTGAAATTAGTAACCATGGGACTTATCAACATGTAGCAAAGAGACACTGGACTTTATCTCTCAAGATTAAAGATATAAAAATATAGTACTTGATTTTGTCAAATTTGTACAAACATACATTTTTATATATTTCAATCTTACAAGTGTTCTTGTGAGAGTGAAACACACAAAAAGTCTGTATATTTTTAGAGGACTGTGTATTTTTTATTCCACCATATTTTCATTAGGAGAGAATATGTAATTCGGAAAGGGTAAACTTTTACTTGAATTATTGTTTTAAAGGGTAGAAGATACTGTACTCATTTATGACAAAAATGAAGAGTAAAATATTATTTTGAAGCTAAAGAATAAAAACACATAAAAATATTTAAAAAAAATTAAAAACAGTGCTATTAATATTCTTAAAGCCTCGACAATGGAACTTTTTTTACTAAATTAAATATCACGTATTAAATATTTCGCTTAGAAGCACGAAAGACCCGGGGGTGGCCTTATGATTAGTGTGCTCGACTGTGAACTCGAATGTTTATTGTTCGAGCTGGGTTGTCGATAATACGCGCTTCGCCCTTTGGTAATGCATGTGATCTCAAACAGTATGCTTGATAATTTCCATTATTCGGTCAAACAAGAGTTAGCGTTGGGTGTTGTTGACTAGCTGCTTTCCGTGTAGTTTATCAGCTCAAATTTAGGAAAGGCTATGCGCAGGTAGCTTTGAGCTACAAGAAGCTTAAAATCTGAGAATTAACATACATTTAAAACTTTATGGTCATTTAAATATACCACACTGATGCACATGGCTCAAACCAAAAAATTCTTAGTTCATAAGAATTATAGAAAAATTGAAAAATTATACAATGAAAACAAAATGCAGGCATTTGGACACATAGCGAGCTAAGAAATAGAAGTTTGGTACTATGGAAATAATTATATATGCAACAATTTACATAAAAAAAAGTAAAATGTTGTTAAAACCTAACTATCAAGTAAAGTTTCGCTTCATATAAGTAAAGACCATTATAATATGACTTAGGAAAAATAAATTTATTAAACTTGAAAATAAAAATGCAATACTTAAAGTTATGGTGTGAGCGCCTTTTAGAAGCTGGCGAAGCATGATATAATTCATTCTACTTGTCATAAGACATTATGTTATTATATTATATATTTAATACTACATTCTTAATCTAGTCCCTTAGGGACTTTCAAGAATTAAAATAGTGTGTTATAATAGTATTTCAATCACACTAATTTCGTCATATCTATTGCAGACGACGCGTTTCACTCATTTTCAGAGCTCTTCGGGTAGGCTGGGATACAACGAACACACTATTGGTCGAAATACTATTTATATAGACCACTTGTTACAACAACAATTGTAATAGTGTGAACGCCTTTTAGGAAGAAATGTAGGGTTAACAAATTTAATAGGCCTAACATAATATCTTATGACAAATAGAATCAAATGTTTTTAAGTATACAAAATTATAAAAACTAAGATAGCTTTAAGGTTTAAAATGTGTAGTTAATGTGTGAGTTTAAGTAATGAATGAGAACTATTCAACGTTCCATGTTTGAACGATAAATTTCTCAGGTAAAATAAAAGAACTTATAACTTGGTTAGTTTAAAAGGATTCAGATATAAAACATTTTGTAACCGTTAATTATTCCAGTTAAGTGATACATAATAAAAGGTGGACTCTAGTGGATTATCCAGTTACTTGTAAAACAAAAAACAACAGAAGGCTTATATGTGGGAAGAACAATTGTAGTCTTATTATATGTCATATCGTTTTTGTAACCGTTAATTATTGAGGTTAAATGATACGTAATAAAATGTGAACTTTAATGGATTATCAAATTATTAGTAAAAAACAAAAAAAAACAGAAGGCTTATATAGTGGGAAGAACAATTGTAGTCTTATTATATGTCACATCGTTTTTGTAACCGTTAATTATTGAGGTTAAATGATACGTAATAAAATGTGGATTATCCAATTACTGCAGTACCATAGAAGTATGCAGAAAACTTTACTCTTGCTAATTTTGTTTTCTTCAGACTTTTCTCGTAAACCTACAGTGAGGGTGTTAGAGAAGGTACCTAGTAAACAGCACCCTCCACCAACTCTTGAGCTACTCTCGTCTGGTGGAATACATTTGTCCGTTGCTCTTATGACACACCCATGACTCCATAAGTACAGAGCTCGTGACAACAGGCCGCATGCCATAAACCCTCGAATTCATAGCCCGAGCATGTTAACCGCTTGTTTATCAAAAACAATTCTCTTTGTCTCGTGCGCATCTTACAAATGGCAGTAATGCAAAAATCTCTTTGTTCGGAGGCTCGGCATGGCCTGGTTGTTAACGCATTTGACTCTCAATCTGAGAGTCGCGGGTTCGAATCCCCGTTCC